ACTTTGTTTTTAGTTCTAATTGATTGAAAGTGTAGAATTCTAGCAAAAACCACTCATACAATCTCTAATATTCAAACACATGAATAATGAGGTCATAAATCTAGAATGAAAACATATAATATAAAAGAGTTATAAAAATATGATGATTTTTATAAGATTAATAAAAATTTTATTTATAATTTGATATTTTATTAATAAAATAATTGACGGTCATATTTAAAACCATGGTTAGTTTTAAACTATTTTCTAGATCTTCACAAAATTCATTTTTAATAAAAAAAACAAATATATATATATATATATATAAACATAATTAAACTAATAAATTTATATAATTATTAATTTCCACATTGCAATGTCACTTAACAAAAACAACTTGGAATTCTTATAAATATAAAATACCACATGAATGGAAAAAAGGATATTGAAAAGTTAATCAACTAGAGGTAAAATACACCATCTTCTTTTTCAAATAATAATCAATATAATTAGTATTACTTTTTGTTGATTTTCTTTTATCAAACTATATGCTTTTATCTTTTATTTGACTATTTGCTGTCTTATCATCTATGTCCATCATTATATTAATTTGATTTTTTCTCTAAAATATCAAAAAGATTTATTGTGTATTGTTTTGAAACTTTCGTATATTTTATTATGTAAAAGTTTTTCTTTTAAAACATGCCTCATTGTAAATGTTAAGGAGTTGAAAAAAAATCTTTCACCAATACTTTATTAAAAGGATTGGACATGATTACACCCTAAAATTTTCGTAAACTTAGAATTGCTACAAGTGAAAGTATTTATTTTGGATTACAGTTTTATTATATGTAGTGTTTTACAAATTATTTTAAACATCGATCGATGTAAAACTTTTTCAATGTACTCAAACTTGAGAACAAATATTTTAATGCTAAGACTTCATATTTACACAAACTGATCCAATTTTAGTTTTGGTTTCTAAACTTTTCTTTATTTTTTATTTCTTCGAACTTTGAAATTATTGTTTTTAATATACAGTATATATTTTAAGTCAAATTATTAATATTTATTTTAGAAATAAAAAAATATTTATTACTCAATCACATATTAAAAAGGCATCGTAAACATGTTATTGGGTATATGAGATTGCATGTGTGATCTTTCGTTAGACACAAGACAAGCACTTATATGTTGTTATATAACAAAAACAAAACTTTGATTTTAAATTGTAGAAAGATAAAAGACGACCCTTTTATTTGTCACAAAAAAAATTTAAGTACAATTCAATCCTATAAAATTAATTTTTGTCTTATATCTAGTCTAGAGGTTATTTTAAATGCTTTCCATTAATTTTGGGCTAAGCTCTTACGGATTTGCTTTTCAAGTCATTCCAAAAGGTCTCTTATCAATGAATATATGTTATGTGTATATAAACTTATGTTCATCTCTTATTTTATCCGATGTGGGACTTTGTTTGTATCCAACAGACTCAAACTTAAGATAAGAAGAAAGGATGCATTCACATCATATCTAGAACATATATACACATGCAAATACATGCATATACATATGTATATACTTTGATTGCAATATTTGAGTTTATGATGGATAAAGTATATAGAAGAAGATATGTTATATTAAGTTGAATGTTTGAGGGAGTGAAGAGTTTTAAGCCTCATTTTGTCCAAGTGGGACTTGCCATTAAGATTGCGAGAGAAAAAGTCTTTGAAGTAATCTTCCATGAGCATGGTTTTGAACAAGGGAGGGTTTTCAGAATTTAACAAGCTTTTGACAGGTCCAATCTCTGCCTCAAATCTAGGGTTGAAGAACATGGCAATGGAGATTCTCTCCTTCTCTTTGTTCACTGCAGCTCTGTGCTCTATGCTCGTATAGGCTCCATTACTTAGAATCTGCAACATCACCCAAAGCTTCACTTTTTCTGGATATGCTCATTCTATCATTTACATTGAATAACATCATTCTTTAGATGTGCAGAGATAAATGCAATCTTAAGTGAAATTTTTACAATAATCATTTTATTTTTTCCAACCCTCAAAACATTCCTATTTTTGAGGCATTAAACACATATTTTCAAAAGTTATTTTATTTTATTTTGTATCCATTGTTGTTATGATAACCATCCCTTTGAAGTGGATTCAAATAAGAGAAAATAAATTGAGTAAAAAGAAAACATGGATAACAATATTCTTTCTTTTATTAGTTGAGGAAACGTTAAAGAAAATAAAAATAAAAACGACTTCTAGAAGTAAATTTTTTTTAAAAAAAGACATTTTTTCCATTCTACTTTTCTTATAGTTTAAACTTCTGAACTCTTCACTTTCTTTCTCCTCAAGTAACTGCTTTTGGTATTCCAATTCCAATTTCAAAAATAAGCGTTATGATAAGTAAACTTTATTATTCTTGACAGTTCATTTAGAGTAATCAAACCAAGTCAATATCATGCATATTGCACATCCAAGTAATATATATAGGTTCCTCTAACCTATATCTAACTAATATACTCATTCAATCAAGTTCTTCTCTGTTCATCTTCATCTCCCTACATAGTTCATAATTGTTGTTTTGATTCTGTGCAGTTTAAAAAGGAAAGGGAGGAGGAATGCTAATAAGGATATAGTAAATACGTATTTTAATTAATACGTATTTTATATTATCTATTTTACTGGTTCACTGACGTATGAGGTATTATTTGCTTTAAAATCTTATATCTCGATTTTTTTTTCTTAAAGACATCTTTGTGGAATATGAGAGAAGAATGCAGAAAATTTGTGTTGATTTCTTTCTACCTTATCTCTCTTTTACTTGTACCATTCTTACTTTTTCCCTTTTCCCCTCTCTACTTCTAATTCAAATGGACATGAACCTAAACTACTTATAATAAACTTATTCATCAAACAAATTGAATTAAAAGCCTTTTGAAAACATAATTAATTGCAAAGATCACACATAAACTATTTCAAAATATTTAAAATATCACATATTTATCAAAATTTTAATTAAATATAGGTTATTATTATTATTTTCATAATAAGTTTTTATTATGAGTATCGATCATTTGTCCATAAAATTTTAAACCGTTTTCATTGATTGCCGTACGTAATCCTGACGTGATGATGTTGAGTTCTGTTTTATCCATCTAAAGCAAAAAAAAAAAAAGGTTTATCTTATAAAAAATAAATCATATAAGTTTGATTTGATGCAGAAAACCAGAGTGCATATCCAAACCTAACACCAAGTTCAATAAGCCACGTGCATGATGATATTATTAAACGAAGAAAAACATAAGAAAAAGTAAAGAAAAGCATGACAGACCTCCATGATGTCTCCAACGTTAACTACAAAAGCATCTGGTAGAAAGGTCACAGGAATCCAAACCCCACCTTTCTTTATCTCCAGACCCTCCACTCCATTCATCTGATGAAGGATGGTTATGCCTGTGGCATCAGAATGAGGGGTCAACCCTACAACCATCTCTGGTTTAGGGCATGGTGGATAGTATGTCATCCTCACTGACTGCATCCCATCATCAAAAAACTCTTCCACTTCCTTCATCTCCATTCCTATGCCTTTTCCTAGCAATCCAAGAAGTTCCATACCAAGCTTCCTCAGTTCTTTGAAGTATGACTTCAAACTTTCCCTTCACAAATACATATATACATCTGTTTATGTTCATTATGTTATGTCAACTGTTAAGATAAAAACTCTAACTTTTGATTAGAAGACCTGAGTGATGGAGGGAGCTGAGGGAGAAGATATGGCTTTCTTCTTTCAACTGGGTTGATCACCATGTAGAATCTGTCCCCCCAGTCAAGCTTTTGATCTTTACATCTAATCACACTTCCGTAACCTTGAACATCACCTGCTCTGATTTGATATTTCTTCTTATCTTCAATGGGAAGTTGGAAGAATTTCTCGATCTCATGTTTCAGCTTCTGCAGCAGTTCAGAGCTAACACCATGGTTCACCACCTTCATAAAGAAACAGTTACTGCAAAGGGAAAACTAAGCAACAAATCACTAATTATACTACTAAGTAGAAACCTGAAAGAAACCCCAATCTTTGCATGCTGTGTACAGCTTGAGAAGTTGAGCATCTCTGGAATTTTCATGCAGCAAGCTTTTAAAGTCGAAAACGGGAATAGTTGGCAAAGAGGGTTCATCTGATCGAATAGAAGGTTGTTGTGGGCGAATATACATTTCTGGTATTCCCATTTCTGGTTTGTTGGCGACTTCCATGACACCAAGAACAGAATGAGAGCTCCCAAAGTCACTAACCTGTGTTGAAGCCATGATTAAAGGTGCATGCCACCCAAAGGTGTGATCGGTATTTATGCAGGAAGAAGTTCAGTTTGGACCCGTTCTTGGAGGTTAAAATTGTTATTATATTGTGCAGATGTCTTTGACTGTCACTAAATAATGCGTACGGCCACGATGCCTATCAATCCCACTGTAACAGCTTCTTTTCTTCCAACTAATTTAATTTTCTATACAAATTATGTAATGTTCTTTTTTATACACGCACACATATATTTATATATCATTTAAAAACGTCTTCGTAATCCAAATATTATATTATTATAACAAGTTATCAAAATAGTTTTATTTAAAATAAGTATAGTGAAAATAACATCTTTAATCAAATCGTATCGTAATTATTTGTCACACCAAATTATTTGATAAGATTTAAATAGCCTTTATGATTAGACAAATGGCAACACGTTCTTGTATATATGCATCAATTTTTGGAGTTGCACTTATAAATGTTATGCTGCATGGAAAATTCAATTATATATATTATTTGATCATATGTATAAGGTTTTGTATCGTATTCATATCAGTATGGATTTGTAAGATTTAAAATACTATAATATTGTTCAATAGTTTTTAAATATTATAGGTGTTTAATTAATTTGTTTGTTTACTTGCATGTTGAAACTTTAATTTTCAACTACTATTTTTATATTAATATTTTGTAAAATAGGTGAATATTTTGATTAATGTTATAAAAAACAATCAGTTCAATCCACTTTGATTGTACTATAATAAATAAATAAATTAAGTAAATTTACTAATACATCAAGCTTTATATTACATTGAACCGGATTATCAAAATTTTGGTTCACTAATAAATGAGTCGGGTTGAGTGTAACTGTAATGAGCCAACCCATGTGAGCAAAACCAACTCACTTTGACAACCTTAGATTTGTGTATATAATTATTTTAATATATGAGATTCACCTTAATCAATTAAAACTTATTTAATATAGTTCAAAATAGAGCTTATTTTAGAACTTTCAATATTTAATTTGCTAAACTTATGTTTTAATGTAATAAAATCACTTGTAAATGATTTTAATTGATTAAAATCTCATTTCTAATCGGTCATAACAAGACACGCAAAATGAGTTAAATACTTGTTGGAAATTTCACATGAGATAAGACCAATTTATAATATATAAGTGGGTGCAAATCTCACCATACAAGCTGGTTTTCTGGGGTTGAATTAGGCTTAAAGTCCACTTCTTAACATGGGTACAAATCTCACCTTACAAGCCGATTTTTTGGATATGTTGGAAGTTCTACATTGACTAGAAATAAAGCTAATTTACACTATATAAGTGGATATAATCTAGTTTTGAATGATTAAAACAGAGTCTATACTACAACTTTTTAATTTTAGTATTTACATACAATTGACTCAATAATTATTTTGATTGATTCAAGAATATTCTAACATATTAAAATACATTTTAATGTATTAAAAATGTAATTAAAAACTAAAAAAAATCTAAATAACTTCAAAAGCTTTCCACCTTAGCAAATGATTGAAACAAAATCAAACATGAACTTAGATCAAGATTTTTAACCTTATAACCATTGCAAAAAAATAAAAATAAAAATCAACACATTCTTAATTCATGATCTTATTCATTCGATCTTACTTTCTTCAATTTTATTGGCTTAACCAATTCATTATGGTGGAGTTTATAAAATAATTGACACTTATGTCATCAAACTCCTCATATTTAACTGACAAAGACACACAGTACTTAAAGCACATAATTTTAATTCTTATGATCAAATTGAAAATCGTGGTATGATCTTGAAGTCGTTCAAATTGATTATCTAAATATTAAAATTTAACTACACAAAATTTATGGTGAGTTCCTTTCATATCCATGTGTGAGAACAACAATTGCTCAAAATATACAGAGGGATACCCTTGTTGACTAGAAGTAAAGATGAAAATGTGGACTAACTTACCCTACATTTTTCTAATAGAAAGTGGACTAGGCTAACCCATCCCACATTTTTTTCACAAAAGTGAACTAGGCTAGCCTACCCCACATTTGGCCAGCAAAAAACAGGCTATTCTAGCTTGTCTCATGTAAGAATTGTAGGTTAGTTTTGTTGGTTTATCTTACATAATAATTGACCCATGAGTAAATTTACATAAACAAAAATATTAAAAAGAAACATTTACAAATATTGTAAATAATAATATTATTTTAATATTTCGCATATTTGTTGCACTCCATCATTTTACTATTAACAATAAAATTGAAGCAAACATAATATTAAGATCTATAGACTACTAGTTATGTAAGACAAACATAAATAAGTTAGCAGACAACATGTGTGGTTCATCCCATATTATTATCTCTTATTAGAAGGATATATTCAATACAATAAATGATAATTAGATCTTCTCACCAGTAAAGTAAAGGGAAACGATAACGGTTATTTTCGCTTATATGCAGTGGTTCCGCAACTAAGGCATATACAGGCGAGGCAAAAAGGGGTATGCTTTTTGCCTCGGTTATGAACCGAGGCAAGGAGGTGTGTGCTTTTTCCTCAGTTCAAATCCAACCGAGGCAGTAGAGGGGTTTTTTTTTTCACCATTTGCTAGGTGAGTTGTTAGCCCTTGGCCGCAATCCATCAACGCCCACCGCTCCATCTCACACCACCATCATCAAAGATTCCCAACTACGAAGAACAAAGAATAAGAACGACGCGCTCCCACCACCACCTACAGAGAATCAATCAAACACCACTACTCCTACAGAGAATCAATCAAACATAAAATAACCCAATCAAAATCAGAAAAAGGGGACGGAAGGAAGCGTCCTCCTCTGTTGCGAATCAGAACGGAGAGAAGAAGAAGAAGTACGAGAACGACCATCACGCCCTTACATCCCCGCCGCGTCTCCGCTGCGTCTCCATCGCGCCATTGATGATCCCTCTGTTGCGCCTCCATCGGAACAGAGAAGAGGAAGGAAGCCCCCCTCTCGCCAATGAAAGAAAATGGGAGAAAAGAGAGGAGCGACGCAACTTCTGTCTTTATTCGCGAAATTTAACCCTAAACACATGTTATTACCTCGGTTATTTTTTTAACCGAGGCAATAAGGGTCTACGGCCTCGGTTCTATAAAGAACCGATGCCTAAACCCTCTCAAAAAAATAAAAAATAAAAAATAAAAATTGCAGCTCTTTTATGCCTCAGTTTTTTAAACAACCGACGTAATAGACCTTTTCGATAATTACAAAAATGTCATTGTGCCAGTTTTAAGCATCGGTTCTTTTCAAAGCGAGACATATACGTTTGTGATAATTACAAAAATATCACCGCACTAGTTTTAGGCATCGATTCTTTTTTAACCGAGACGTACATTTGCGATAATTACAAAAATGTCATCGCGCCATTTTGTTCTCCGATTACAACTAAACCGATGTCAAATGCACGAGTTAAAATCCTCTTTTTTACTAGTGTCTTCTTAACTAGCAATTAGTCTAGCCTCATGTTGAATGACTTTGCCTTCTAGAGGAGTCCCTTCATCATCAACATTTTTTTCGCTATTATCGTCTTGAGAAGAGTTAAATCTCATTAATTATATTAATAATTTCATTGATTTTTTTTTGAAATATCTAATAGTTCTCCTTCAACATTAACCTTTAAATGTTTCAAAGATTTTTAAACAAATACTACATAAGGAAAATTTAAATTTCGAAAGTACTTTGACTTCAACATGTGATCTTTGATAAGATACCCTTAATTGGGAAAAGCATGATTGTTCCCCTTATGAAAATGCGTACAATTCACCCTTATAAAAAATTCACTAGTAAAAAAAGGCTTTCTAACGTGGCTAATAGGTCTCGGTTTGCACAAACCCGAAGCAAATATAAATGCGGTGGCAGTATTGCAATTTGAGTGAACTTATAGGCTTCGGTTCAACAGGAACCGAGGCATAATAGTCATATTACCTCGGTTAGAAACTACCCGAAGCGTATAATCTGCTTATAGGCATCGGTTGGAGGAAGGAATCGAGACAGTAGAAGTGTATTACTTCGGTTAAAGGTATAACCGAGGCAAGTTACCCCACTTACTACTGCACAGTTACCCTACCTACTGTTGCAATGTTCTTCTCTCTACTGCATCCAAGAAAAAAGTTCTCCACTTTTCTTCTCTCTCGCTGCATCCACATCCAAGTAAAAGTTCTCCACTTTTCTTCTCTCTCAAGACATCCAAGCGACCCGATGCATTTAAGCGCTCCATCATCGTCTCACCACAGGGTCGCCGATAGGTGGTCGCCGCCGCTACAGTGTTCTCGCATTGCTTCGCGATTCCTTTTATCACGCAAGATCTAGATGTTGGTGCTGCCATCCAACCACTACCTCCTCGTTGTTGCCTCGATGCTACTTCGCTCCCTCCCCGCTGCGTCCACAATGTCACCGCCGCTACCTCCCTGTTGCTGCCTCGCTGTCGCGTGGTCAAGACAGTGTTGCCGCCGTTCGTCAAGCTCGCTCTGGTCATTGGCGACCTGCTTCGTCTGGGCGAGCCTCTTGTCACCAGCTTCATCCATTGGGGAGCCACGGAGCCCACAGTCGAGTGCGAGGAGGCTCGAGGTGGGGCTGAAAGCACCGTAGTGGCCGCGGAAAGCAGGGCTATGTTGACGACGTCGAGGAACGAGGCTTGAACCAATGGACCCCGGTGCGGATCGGCGACGAGTAGAGAACCACCCGAGGAGGGAGGAGTGAGGGTGGTAGGCGGAGGGGATGACAACGCCGGAGGATTCATGGAAGGAGGGGGAGCAGAGGAAACCGGTGACGGTGGCGAGGGTTTTGTTGTCTTCCTGCTAATAATTTTTTGGGTTTTCTTGTGTGCATGTTGGAACCTCTATCCTCTGACATTCAGATTCAGTCTCAAAAATTGAAATAACGCAGGTATCAATTGAGAATCTCACTGATTTGCTACCATATTATTTCACCTTTCACTTTGTTAATTTCCTGATA